AAAAAAAAAAAAAAAAAAAAAAAAAAAAAAAAAAAAAAAAAAAAGCAGAATGGCCTCTGTGGAGGTCGAAGGGCTTGGCTTTGTGGAGATGCTGAACTGAAATAACGTAAAGCCTGAACCAATTTCTTTGATATAGAATTTTGAAATTTTGAAATTTTAGAGTGTTGAATTGTGAGAGTCGGAATTTGAACATTTGGAGATTTGAAAGTTGGGAAATTTTCGGACCTGTGAAATTTGGAAATTTCGAAAAAAAATGAAAATTTGAAATTTGAAATTTGCACCAACGGGCCTTCTTCGCTCATTGGGTAGATCCATGAACTGGTGAAATACAGACCCACGTTCTATTCGAATCCAGATGGAGTCAGATTAACAAAATAAGGCACTTCTGAATTACCTTCAGTACAGTAGGGGCCGTCAGTTCAGTGGTGGTGATATCTCAAGGCCCCGTCGCCCTTTTTAAAAATAGGAAATCAGAAAAATAAAATAAAATGAAATTTTGAGCATTTGAAATTTTTGAAAATTTAAAATAGGAAGAGGGGTGGGGTTAGGGTATTGGAATACATGTTAAAAAAAAAAAAAAGGTGTAGTGTCACACGTTGAGCATGTAGCCGTCAGCATCACCATTACTGAATCTGAGGGGGGGTTCCATTTTTGGTAAGAGAATGACCAATTTACAGATTCCAGATTGGGAAGGGTTATTAGTGTGTGCTATGTGTATTTGAATAATTCCCTTACTTTTTTTTTTTCAAGTTTTTTTTTTTTTGGTTACAAAGGGGATATACTATATAGTTAGTCCCTAACGTGTGCTCACTGCCGTTTTTTTTTTTTCTTCGTTCATTTATTTTCTTATTGCTCTTTTGGGAAGGGGATATAGCCCCAAACATTGTCAAAATTATTATGATTTCATTATTAAAAAAAAAACAAAAGTCTTCCCCTTCGTTTCTCAAGATTTGAATATAATCCTGATCTCGGAGAAAAGAAAAAACAAGAAAGAAGGTTTCAATACATAAACGTCAAAGACTCCGCACCACGCCCCCCCCCAAAAAAAAAAAAAAAAAAAAGATTATCAGTTCCAAGTGTGTTGCCATTCATTCAGCCCTCAGGCAAGCTATTTAACTTGCTTACTCCTTTTTTTTCTTGTGTGTAGGGGGCGTCTTGCCATTCATTCAGCCCTCAGGCAAACTATTTAATTTGCTTACTCCTTTTTTTTTTTTTTTTTTTGCTTTTTTTTGTGTGTAGGGGGCCTCTTTCTCTCAGGCAGGCCAGGCAGGATCAGCATGGAGACATTAGCAGCAGCCGCCACGTCAGCATTCTCAGCAGCGAGTCCCTGCTGCGCGCCAGGAAGAGCCATCATCTCAGTCGCGACTGCAGATCGCGTCAGGCTCGGCCCATCCCTTCCTGTCCCGGCCCGACGGAAGACGTCATTACTCTCTCTGCGAGCGCGATCCCGACGTGCAGCAACGCCTTCAAGCAGCCAGATGCGGTGTTCCTTCTTCGGCCGCCACGTGGCAGCAGCTCCCAGTTTTGGCGGGAAACTCTGCCACCCTGCCACGTCGGCAAAAACAGTCATTCCCGGACGCGACAGGAAACAGGTTGGCCCGGGACGATCCGCCGCCGGCGGCGGCGCGCTTTGCTCTACGGCGGGAATTGGCGATTTGGCGCCCATTACGTCGGCAGTTTATGGCGCGACGATGGGGGTGGCCGGGACGTTCGCGTTTTTAAAATTCGGTTCCAAATATTCGATAATTGCGGGTCTCTCGTCGGGATCGCTACTTGCCTTGTCCTATTGGCTGATGCAGAATCCCGACTCCCAGTCGCAGGGGGAGGCACTGGCGTTTGGCGTGTCCGTTCTCCTCGCTGCCGTCTTCGGCCTTCGGTACTTCAACACCAAAAAACCGCTACCAGCTCTTCCCCTCTTCGCTGTGAGCACGCTTTGTGGGTGTGTCTTTGCAGCAGCCTACTTCAGTTGAAAAAAAAAAAAAAAAAAAAAAACATATTTTATTTTATTTTCACCATGGCGCGCACAAATGGGGAACCGATTGGTTTTTTATCTGGAGTGTAGGAGGGGGGGAAAAAAAACACACGATTGGATGGAAATGCAGTGAGCATACTTTGCGGCTGTGTATTTGAGGCAGCCTACTCTTGTTGAGGAGAAAAAAAAAAAAGGATTATATTTTATTTTATTTTCACCATGGCGCGCACAAATGGAGAAACGATTAGTTTGTTATCTGGAGTTAAACACACACACACACACACACACACACACACACACACACACACACACACACACACACACGATTGGATTGAAATGTTCAGCTTTACTTCACTTGCTCACTTTGTTTCACCGTGGCACGCACAAATGGAGAAACGATTGGTTTGTTACGTGGAGTCAGGAAAAAAAGAAAAAAAAAAAAAAAAAA